ACGCAGGGGACACCCGTTTGACGGCGTTTGTCGCGTTGGAGCGGTATGGCTCACGCGGCAAATGAAGTGCGGCCGAACGCGAGTACCGTTTTTGTACCCGTTCGGACCGTTTCCCCTGCGCCACCACCGCAGCAGGCACCCCGCGAACTCCCTGCAGGACGCAAATGGGTTCGCGAGTTTTTTTTTTTTTTTCCAAAAAAAAAAAAGTGCATGGGGCGGTACTCGACAGCGGACACTACCACCCCACACTTTCACAAAACCCCTACCCGCCCCCAAACGCGCCGAAACGTGGTTCGCGGACCCCGTTCATTCGCGTCCAACGCGCGTTTGAACGGGGATTGAACGCGAATTCAACGCGYGTTCAATTTTTCAACGCGTAACCCGCGTTGAATCGATTTTCGGACACACAGCCTATAGGTTATGATGTCGGATTGTGGCTACAGAGGTTCGGGGCAACGCGCAGCAGCGGGGAAGCGTCATGAAGGAGATTGAAGGGGTTGAGGGCCCGGCAGGGCTATCCCCCCTCAGTTTTGTTAGTAGGCACGGCAACAGGCCCGATCCAGGGGACCGGTAGGGTATTAGCAATCCCCACCCAGTTGTCTAGGATTTTTGTATATATATATGTTATTCTTATTTTATTTTATGTTTGTGTTTTTTTATTTTATTTATTATTGTATTTATTCGCGGTAGCACGGCTGGCTACTTGGGTTTTGAAGAACCGCGGATGGGGGACTGCCACCGCCAGGTCCTTCGGGACATCCGCTAAAACGAGGGACGGGCTGGCGGGCCCGGGGTGCTTGTCACTGCTGGAGTTTGTAGTATATGGTGGGGGTACCTGTCTGAACCCGGCCTCGAAAGAGGGCCAGATCCGTGCACAGCCCTGTGAGGCAGGGTGGCACTAAAGAGTCTCGGGTTGCGAAGGGCCGAGGGGCGTGGCCACAGCCGAGGTCCGTCGGAACGTCTGTTAAGATCGGAACGATACGGGGAAGATTAGGCCAGCCGTCTGTAGCGCGGTGTGTATAAAGCCGGGGTAGTGTGCCTCCTGCCTCCATTTGGCTGTCAGAGACTCCGCAAGACCGGTTCTCCGGTTGTTCGAAAGCGGCAGCGAGGGCGGAGACTGGAGCTAACCTGGACGTAGGTTAGGCCGGGTACTTGCGACGGAAGAGTGACGACAAGGTAAGCGGGCGACAACGAAGCGGGCGGTCGGGCACTGTGCTAGCAGCAGCGGCCAGTGCAAGAGCGCAGCGGAGTGTCGGGGAGCAAGCTGGCTATGCGATAGGCAGGGGAGCGAAAACAGATGGGTGCATAGATTCGTGTCGGGTGCGTGCGGAGAGAAGGAGGAGACATCGGAGGGAGGAGATCCTACCTGCCCGCCGTCGTTGAGCCATAAGGCGGGATGAACCCGGCCAGGAGCTCGGTCGCGTGCACTCAGAAGATAAGGGAGCGAGGGATACTAGGCAGCGCAGGTTGAGAGAGGAAGGGCGACAGGTAGTAGAAAAGGCGAGTGAACCTGGCCGGGGTTTGGCGCCAGGTGCATTCGCAGGAAAGAGACAAGTGTGGCGGGATGGAGAGGGCTTAGCTCACTCGTTCCTTGTCGGAATCGAGTGAACTAAAGCAGCAGGTAGGGGTTTTGGCATGGTGTGAGCGCGATGGTGGAGTCAGATGCGGCGTTAGATGAGCAGAATAGGAGTTAGTTGGAAAAACTGCTGCGTGAAGTTATGGCGGAGGGGGAAAATTACGAGATAGGAAAACCGAGGTGATACTCGATTCTTGATAGAATCGAGCGGGAGAAAGGCGGAGATAGGGGTTTGTGGGTTAGGCGAATCTGGATCAGACGTTAGATTTAAGTGAGGATTAGTAGAAGAAAGGTTAGTTGAGAAACGGGCCGCGCGGAGCTATGGCGGGGCGGGTGAAAACGGGCGGGGTGAAATTTGAGATCTCGCTCAAAACTTTACAGAATCGAGCGAGCTGGGAGGTTAGGCGGAGGTTTTGGGAGACAACGAATTCGATGGTAGATTCGACTTCCACGATAACGAGGTGGTTCCTGTGATGCGTGAGATGTGGGCTGCAACCGGGAAAGGAACGACTTCTAAAACATTATGAATCTGGTCGGCTTATGGCACAAGATTCATTCGGTTTTGCTCATCGCCTCGTTGGGGTAGAAGCCAAACCAGGCTGTGGGGTCAGAGACTTACCTGGAAGTCAGTGTGGCTTAACAAGCATGAAAAACAGAAACCTGTCTGGGCGCGGACGAGCTGGCTTTCAGTCAACGGTGCACCTAGTCGCAATGGAGGGGAAGATTCACCCTCATCTAGAGGTAGTAGTGGGAGGCATGTATGAGTGACCACTGACCAGGTAATCAAGATGGGGGGGGGGCACCAACAGCCGATGAAGGAGGTAAACTGATCACAAGCAGTTGGGCGATCCCCTGCGACCGGCCGCAAGGTGCATGGTTCCTCGCCATCGGGACTGTGTGGAAGTCGGACTGACGTTGTGGGTTGAATATGGGCTAGTCAAGCTGAGCTGTATAGAAGGGGTGTTGAGCGCTAGACAGTAGGGACAATTTTGGATACAGTGCTAGTGTGACCAGGGAGTGTCCCCTCTTCGCACTTGAGTTCATCATACTGCCCTATCCGGATGGTACCTCCGTGCATAGGGATTCTCGGAAGATGGACTGACCTGCGTTATGAGTGAGGCAGTTTTTGAAGCTGTTGCAGTACACCTTATACTGTTAGTGCCAGTTGGAACCAACGCAGTGCATGCCGAGCGCTCAGACTGCTGTTTTCGAGTAAATGAGAATGGGGTTGCGGCGGAACGATAGAAGAGGCTGCAGTCGAACCACCATACTTACCTGGCTGGGCTTCCGTGAGGGGCAGCGCGAATGCATGGGTGCTAGGGGCAGGAAAGGCTCAGAGTCGAAGGGAGGAGGGGCACTTACCTGATAGCTGCAGCGGACCAGGCACATCGAGGTGGGAACCTACTCGTCAGGACTGGGACGGCCTGCTGTTGCCGACTGTTGTTGAAGGCGGCGATTATTGCGGCTGCTGGCAACTACGGCTGGGGGTGGCTGTTGTCGTTAATCATCGCTAAGTGCTGTATACTGCTGTTGGCTATTGTGCACTGCTGCGTATAGAAGATGTATTACCGCATGCTGCTGCATAGCGCTGCCAACCGCTACGTATTACTCCATATTATTGCGGCATTGTTGTATACTACGGGGCTACTGCGGCATTGTGGCCTGCACGTGAGCTACTGCTGCATACTAAAGGCATATCGGTGCTGACCGTGGAAGCCTGTGGCCGACTGTTGCTGGTGACGGCTATAGTTGTCACCTACTGTTGGCTGCTGCAGATCACTCACTGTATACTGTTGTGGCGATTGCTGACTACTACGAACTGATGTGCGGCGGCGACAAGACTTAAGGGAGTGGCTGAGCTTGGGAAGGGAGGTTAGTGCGGCAAACTGGAAGGTCGCCAGGGGAACGATTCAGCCGTTTGAATTCAAGCTTGACCAAGTTGTTGCACTAGCCGCCATTGCGGGGCCCTCTGATTAAACTGTTTTATTGTGTTTTCACCCGGACTTTATTGAATGGTCATCCAACAAAAGTACTGAGTATTTTTTTTGAAGAGTTGCACGAGTGAGGCTTGTATGGCTAAAGCGAGGGGTATGAGTGCAATAAATGGTTTTTGACCCCGGGACGACACTGAGTTGATGGTACGGGAGAAGAAGGCGGAAAGGAGGGAAACTGGTGGTGACGACAACAAATCCCCGGTGGGTGAAGTAGTAGGTGTGGTCGGGAGAAGGGAAATCGGAGCACCAAGGGTCCCTAGAGGTGGCGCAATGAAATTCCCGCGGACATAGCCGATTCTCCGTGCGACAGGGGTATCGCGTCCTTATGAGTTCGTTTATCATAGCGGTGAAATAGTCCAGGTCATAGGATGAGTCTGAGTTCCAAGATCGCGTCATGGTATCATTGTGGGTGGGTCCGCTTGGGAAGGATGTCGT